TTAAATATCTATCATTTGTGGGGAAAGGAAACAGAGTACATAGTTTTGCCTCGTAATGTGAGATTTCATATTTGTTAGGAAAATTTAGCAAAAAACTAGTATTTCCAATAGAACGCCAAATCATGTTAGTCGTAAGGTCTTGACACATGACTCCCTGAGGAACGAGAATAATATTCAAAGCTTCAACTGCTTTAAAAGAGATGAATACTTGATATACTTGATTTGGTTCGAGATTGTCGAGATTGTCGAGATTATAAACTCTCTGGCTATGGGTTTGAACCAATTGTCGATTGTTGTTCAATGTATGCTGTTCATAATGGATTGATTGACTTCGTGGTTGATTGTTTCTTGACATTTGTTGTTGATTTAAATTTGCTACTGAATTTTAATTATAAAATCTTCATAGGGTCCAAAATTTAAAATCTTTGACGTGGAACTGGAAAGGTACAAAATTTCCCAAGACATACTTAAAAGAAAAGATTAAAATCATGAAAACTTTATAAAAGTATAAATAACATGGAATTAGGATTAGTACAATAATTTAAATTTTTTAGATAGTTGAAGTTGAGAATTATACCTTCTTTAATATAAAATTTTGGGAAGGGCTAGTTTTTTTTGTTTGAGTTTACAATAAAAAAAATATAAGTGATTTCAGTGAGATTTGTACATTTATATATAGAACCCTCAGTCACGATAATTTACAAAATAGACAGGCAAAAACTTTAAAGTCCTGAATTTATTACTATTTGAGTTATTTTTACCCAAAGATATGCACTTGTTCCAAATTAATTTCAGCCCAAACCAACCCAACCAAACCCATTAACAACCCTAAGGGCAACATCCTTTGTCAACTGACTTAATGCCCCTAAAATTTCACAATAGCAAATTGCAAAACTTGTTTATCGTAATAAGAAACAAAATATTTCAGGAAAATAACTCTCTTTGTCAACTGACTTTCGCCCCTAAAGTTTCACAACAGTAAATAACTGATGCATTTAAAGTAAGATAACCTTTGTCAACTGACTTAATGCCCCTAAAGTTTTACAATAACAAATAGTAGAACTTGATTATCATAATAAGAAACAAGATATCTCAGGGAAAAAAAGCAGATAACTCTTTTGTCATAGGGATTTAACGCCCCTAAATTTTCACAACAGTAAATAATTAATGCATTTAAAGCAAGATAACTCTTTTAAGAAAAATAAAATTTATTGGTTCATATTGCTGTGACTTAACGCCCTAAAGTTTCACAATAGTAAATAGCAAAACTTGTTTGTAATAAGAATACAAGATATCTCAGGAAAAAAAAGCAAGATAATCTTACCCCTTTGTCAACTGACTTAACGCCCCTAAAGTTTCACAATAGTAAATAATTGATGCATTAAAGCAAAATAATTGATGCATTTAAAGCAAAATAACTCTTTTTAAAAAATAAAATTTTATTGGTTCATATTAATGCAATCGACTCTTTGTCAACTGACTTTCGGCCCTAAAGTTTTACAACAGTAAATAACTGATGCATTTAAAGTAAGATAACCTTTGTTAACTGACAATAACAAATAGTAGAACTTGATTATCGTAATAAGAAACAAGATATCTCAGAGAAAAAAAGCAAGATAACTCTTTTGTCACAGGGACTTAACGCCCCTAAAGTTTCACAATAGTAAATAGCAGAACTTGTTTATCATAATAAGAAACTAAGATATCTTAGAAAACAAATTTATTGGTGTCAACTGACTTAACCCCCTAAAGTTTCACAACAGTAAATAATTGATACATTTAAAGCAAGATAACCTTACCCTTTGTCAACTGACTTAACGCCCCTAAAGTTTCACAATAACAAATAGAACTTAATGCAATCGACTCTTTGTCAACTGACTTAACGCCCCTAAAGTTCACAATAGTAAATAGCAGAACTTGATTATGTAATAAGAAACAAGATATCTTAGAAAAACAAATTTATTTGTGTCA